CCACCCCCGTCATTCATCCCTTTCCCCGTCAAGTGTTGGCTTCGCGCTCCTTGTCGTCGATGATGGCCTTTACGTTCTCGGCCTCGAGCAGAGCCGCAATCTCCTTGGCGTCGTACGGGTGGTACACGACGGCGCCCGTCTCGTCGGTGTGCAACGTGGCGAACTCGACTGGCATGGCGGGCACGGTCACAAGCCGAAGTGGATAGGGGGAACAGAGGTTGTGAAGTGAAGTAGTGATGCGAGTGGTAGATAAGGTGTAAGCAACATCCCTTTCTCCACCCTCAAAGAGTACCAGCGCCTCTAACGTCTCACGTGCGTATGGCAACAAGCAAGGCCAGTGGAAGTGGGCATTCGGGAAAAGAGAAGGGATGGAAGAGTCGCGAGGGTGCGATTGCCGAGGCCTCGTGCAAACGTGAATCTAAAAAAAAAAAAACAAAAAAAAACGTACGCTTATCCGCGCCCAGTGCTGACGCGTCGACAGTTTTGGCCAGCACCTTGACGGCCAGGCTGCGTGCCTCCTTAAGCGACAGACCCTCCTTGTACTCCTGCTTCAACAGACTGGTGGCGTTGCCGGCGTTCGCCCCCACGCAAGTCGCCTTCCAACCAGAGTAATTGCCGGACGGGTCGCTGTGGTACAGCTGGAAGCCGTGTTGCGCGTCGTGGCCAGCGTACAGGAACGACACTCCGAACGGCCGCAGACCTGGGAGCGTGACGCGGAACGTGCAGTGCGTAAGCGCGTGGGGTGAAGCAGGGGAGGCAAAAAAAAACGCACTCACCGCCGTACTGCGTGTACCCCTGCTTCAGGTCGCACAGGCGCTGGACCAACTGCTCAACTGGGATCGGCTCGCCGTATGACAGTGCGTACCCGTGCGCGCTCTGCCGGCAGTACGTGATGAGCGTGTTCGCGTCCGCCGTCAGACCAGCCACCGCCACGCACACGTGGCTGGACAGGGCAACAAAAGGTATCCAAGGAAGAAAGGTGAGGGGTTTGGATTCAATGAAGCGAAAGGGAGAGGTGGGGACGGGGGAGAAGAGGGAGGGGGGTTGAAAAAGGTTATTAGCGTCGTGCATGCGTGGGCAGACGCAACCAGCCCGGAACTCAAACCAAACGAAAAAAGGCGGCGAAAACCCCCACTCAACTCAGCCAGCTTGTACAGCTTCTCGCGCGAGCGCTCTTGCTCCAGCAGCTTGGATGACACCTTTTTCTCCGCCGCCAGCACTACACCGTCCGCCGCCAGCACCCCGATCGCCATCCCGGCATGGGAGATCGCCTCCATGGCGTACTCGACCTGGTACAGCCGCCCTGCGAGAGATGAGCCGTAGTTTGGACGGAACGGAAATGAGGCGCGTCGGGAAGGAGAATGTTAGGGAGAAGTCTGGGAGCTGGTTCGGAATGGAGGCATCATGGTGCAAGCGCTGGAAGTCAGGAGACTTAAAGGAAGCATAGCATGCTGGACCAAGCTCGCGTGGACATGCCGATGGTTGTAGGGTTGGGAAAGAAAGGAAAGGGGCGAAAGGGGTGCGCAACGATGGACGAAAGACGTTTGTAAAGGAGGAGGGTTAGGGTATGGAGGTGTTGCCGAATCGTACCCTCGGGCGAGAAGATGGTGGTGCGAGAGTCGTAGCGCCGGGCCATGATGGCAGTTTCGTCTGGTGTTGCGGGCGCCTGCAGTGAAGTCGGGGACGCAGTTGGGAGCGGTGTCGGTGCCGGTGCCTGTGTTGGTGCTGCGACAGCAGCCTAACGGGTCTCTCACTTGGAGTTGTTCAGACGCGCGTTCCTTGCAGGGATTGTTGTGTGTTACTACTTCCGTCTGTATTTTATCACTTTGGGCTGCTGCGCCCCTGGTGCTCTCTTTCTTAAGGCAGGCAGCATCCCATCGGATTCAACTCACTCATGGATTCTGGCGAATTGTAAAGCCGGCCGAAATTGGAGGCAACAACACACAATCGAAAATCAAACTCAAAAGAGGCGCATGGGGAGCGTTCTCGCGGAATATGGCAAGTAAAAAAAAAGGTAGGACTGAAGTTGCCTTGGAGGTGGCAAGGAGGAAGCTTTGCAAATGGAGGGGGAGGGGGAGGTACAAAGGCGATGGAGCAAAAGGCCTCAGGTAGGCACGAATTTGTAAACGAAGCGGGCGAGCGGGGGGTGAGTGAGAGGTGGTAAGAAGGCAGGCAATGCATATAGAATGAACTGCGCAAGCCGCCTTGGTAACGACACCGCCTCCGCTTAGAAGGTCGGGTTCCTGAACTTCTTGCCGGCGTACACGGCGGCGTCGCCAAGCTCCTCCTCGATCCGCAGAAGCTGGTTGTACTTAGCCAGGCGCTCCGAGCGGCAAGGAGCACCCGTCTTGATCTGGCCCGTGCGCAGGCCCACGACCAGGTCGGCGATGAACGTGTCCTCGGTCTCGCCAGACCGGTGGGACACCATCACACCCCAGCCGTCCGAGTTGGCCAGGTTGGCGGCGCGAATCGACTCGGTCACCGAGCCAATCTGGTTCACCTTAAGCAGCAGCGCGTTGACGGCCTTCTTCTCGATCGCCGTCTGAATGCGCGCCGGGTTGGTCACAGTCAGGTCATCACCCACAATTTGGATAGGCACAGACGACGTCAGCGCGTGGTACGAGTCCCAGTCGTCCTGGTCGAACGGGTCCTCGATCGACACGATCGGGTAGTCCTTGATGAAGGACCGGTACAGGTCCGCCAGCGACTCGCCCGAAACGTACTGCGCCGGGTCAGACTGCGGGTTCTTGAAGTCCAGGTCGTACTTGCCCTCCTTGTAGAACTCGGATGCGGCCACGTCCATGCCAATGTCGATGCGGCCCGTGTAGCCGGCCTGCGCAATGGCCGTCTTGAGCAGCTCCAGGCCCTCGCGGTTGTCCTGGATGTTGGGCGCGAAGCCGCCCTCATCGCCGACGTTGGTGGCGTCCTGGCCGTACTTCTTCTTGATGACCGACTTGAGCGCGTGGTACACCTCCGAGCCCATCTTCATGGCCTCGGCGAACGTCGACGCGCCCGTTGGCAGGATCATGAACTCCTGCATTGCGAGCTTGTTGCCGGCGTGCGAACCACCGTTGATGACATTGAACGCGGGCACCGGCAGCACAAACGAGCCCTTGCGACCGGCAAGCTCGCCCAGGTGCACGTACAGGGGGATGCCCTTGGCCGCCGCGCCAGCGCGCGCCACCGCCAGAGACACGCCCAGGATGGCGTTGGCGCCGAGGCTTGACTTGTTAGGGGTTCCGTCCAGCTTCAGCATGAGCTCGTCGATGGCCACCTGCTCGGTGACGCTGAGCCCAGACTCGATGAGCGCCGGCCCAATTTTGGTGTTCACGTTGGCAACGGCCGTCAGTACGCCCTTGCCGACGTAGTCAGCCTTGATACCATCGCGCAGCTCGAGCGCCTCGTGCACGCCCGTCGACGCTCCCGACGGCACTGCCGCGCGGAAAACGCCTTGTGCGGTCGAGACCTCAACCTCGACGGTCGGGTTGCCGCGCGAGTCGTAGATCTGGCGAGCGTGGACCTAATGTGCCAATACAACGACGACGAGCATTAATGCGAGCTGAGCATAACAATTCCTCGCTGAATGGGAGAAGGGAGCGTAGCTCGAATAATCTGCCGACACCTCCCTCCCGACACGCTCCCACCACCATGATATCATGACAACGGAACAATCACATCCCATCCACCCCCTCCTCCACGTCTACGCTGTTCGCTCCCAAACCCATTCTCTCGTCCCCCTCACCTTGGTAATGGCCGTCATGATGATGGATGCGATATCGGGCGGTAGCGGTTGTGGAGGGGAAGAGAGGGTTTTGGTGGCGGATGCGAGAAATTTCACAGTGTGCTGTTTCCTCACGCGTCCTCCCTTTTACGGGAGAGGCGACATGCAAGCCAACATCTACGGTCTGTTCCCTCCCGCCTCGATATCGTACGAATACATGGTCTGTCTGTTCCCTCTCATCATTGACAGGTCGTGAATCGATCATCATCGCGAACAATCAAATCGGGCCACGTCTGGCTCGCCAGGACTGAGTCAAACCATCTGTGTCAATCGGGCCAATCGTTTGGTCATAACACATCATCCCTCCTGAAAAAGAAAGCCCCGTCGCCGCCTTCAAGAACCGAATTAATACCAGACGCTTTTACAAACACAGGCACATTCCTAACGTATATATAATCTCGGAGAGTAATATACAATGGTAATAAGCACATTTGGACTTGCAACTCAATATTATAAATATGAATATATATATATTTCTGATATGTACAAGCTGCCGTGGCGCAACTGGTTAGCGCGTGTGGCTGTTAACCACAAGGTTGGTGGTTCGAGTCCACCCGGTAGCGTGACATATTACGTTTTATTAATTGCGTTATTTTATTACTTTTTTCGAATTCAACAAATTGTTGGAGTTCGAGAGTAATCACAGGGCACAATGTGATGGAGATTTGACAGTTGATGACCCTATTGCCTCATGAGAAAAAGACAACATAGTGGCAAAAAATAGGCTGGGTTCATATGCGGAAGTTCTTTTTGTAATAAATCTTCCTGTCGTCTTTCACAAAAATTTTCCTCAAAAAAATACCACAAGCCACTAGTTTTGGTACATGTATCAGCCATGTAGCGGTATAGTAAAATGTAACTTCACATTTTTGTGTTTTTTACATACTCTATCCAGGTCGTCCAACGGTAGGACACCCCAATGTGGTTGGGGAGGCCGGGGTTCAACTCCTCGTCTGGGCACTCTCATTTTGCGTGCCTCGAAGATGCATAGGGATGGCCCACTCAATCAGTTTTTCATCCATTTTTGTTGGATTAATATCATACCTGCCTGTATTGGTGTGTAAATTGTTTTCACCTCTAAATATCACAAGCCACCAAATGGTAACAGATCTAGTGGATCATAGACTGTTTGCCATTGCAGCTCGGCAGCGTTCTCAAGGGATCCAGGGAAAGCAAGTGGGGAATGAGGTATGCGTGCATCATATTTACAATTCAATGAAAAGTCACATAAATTTGTATTCATATAAAATTTTGTCCAGGTCGTCCAACGGTAGGACAACCCCATTTACGTCTTACCACTTGTGGTGTGACGAACCCAAACGTCTCGGGGGAGGTCGGGGTTCAATTCCCCGCCTGGGCGCTTTGTTTTTTTGCTTTATTGATTTCAATCATAATTAAACTATACCACAAAGTCGCTATTTGGCAAGACATTTAACCTGACTTGGGTGGCGTCCATCCATCCATCCATGCGTGTCATCAAACAAAGTATGGTGGGTGGGGTGGAATTGTGCTGGCTAACATGATGAACGAGGGAAGTGTATATTTATACACTTCGATCAGCAGCGTCCAGAGACTTTTGTCCCCCCTCCCCTTCCTGCACCTACTACCATCAGGGAGAGTTCAGTTAAAGAGTAGTGAGAGACAGAGGGAGGGATGGATCCACAGGCCAGAATACTTTCTGTCTAGGTTAGTAGGTGAGCAAGTAACGTGTCTGCATACCTCAGCTCTATTTGGACAATTGTTTTCTTCCGTCTGTGAGCTGACGTCAGATAGTGCTTCATTTTCTGCTAATTTTGTCCAGGGCGTCTAACGGTACTGCCTCCAGTGCCGTCAGAACCTTGTTTTTGTTCCAGTGGGTTTCGAGTAGGTTTAATTACAGGCAAGCTGATAACAACAGGAGAGGCGGGGGAAGGGGAAGAGAAAGGATTGTTGGGGAGGAAGGAAGAGAGGGCACGGTGACTATGATTGGGGAAGGCGTCGCGATAGCCGTTATTATATCCGGGAGGTGGTCTCTGGGAGATATCCGCGGTTCTGCAATCAACAAGTGAGGCGATGACGAATGCGGAGTGACGTCGTATGTCAGCAACTTTTAGTATTATAATCTTTTGCGGTTGGTTCCTGTCGTCCAATGAAAGGACGCCCTCACATTGAATAGCTGGGACTTGGTTCCTACGAGTGAGTCTGTATTCCTCCGTTTTGCTTGGGTAATTGTGTTTCTAGCCTATGCTAACGGCAAGGAAATGGGATGGGGTGGAAAGCTAGTGTGTGCGTTGGTGGAGGGGGATGCACACTCTCTGCTTGTTCAGTCGAACGAAACATTACATAATTTTATATAAGCATAAAATTTTGCCTAGGTCGTCCAACGGTAGGACACCCCCAAATCGCTCCACCTATAAGGTGTGACGAAGCCAAAAAACCGCGGGGGAGGTCGGGGTTCAATTCCCCGCCTGGGCGTTGTATTTTTTGTGTGCTTGCTTTATTTCGACGTTTAAAATAAAAAGAACCACAAAGCCGCTATGTGGTAAGACATTTAGACTTAATTGGGTGGCATCCATCCATGCACACAAAGTGTGGTGCAAATTGTGTTTGCTCATGAACGAAGATGGGGTAGGTAATGGTGGAAGGATAAATTCTCTGATGCTTTGATCAGTGTCCAGAGACATTTGTCCCCGCCTCCCCCTGTACCTACTACCTCACTCACATCAGGGACAGTTCAATTAAAGAGTGACGAGAGAGAGAGAGAGAGAGAGAGAGAGAGAGAGAGAGAGAGAGAGAGAGAGAGAGAGAGAGAGAGACATCGAGCAAGAGAGAGTAAAAATAATAATATAAATGATAAGATATTAAGAAAGA